CAATTTGATTTGCAAAATTTCCTATTTTTTCCCCAAATTATTTTCCATTTTCTATTTTAGGTATGTAAATAAGAATAATTAAAGTGACAAATTTACCCTTACTTTTACCTTTGTTCCACTAACTTAAAGGCATCTCCTTTCTGGAAGATGGACAAAATTGTAAAATGCAAACATCATTTATTGTCATTCCTTAATTTTTGTATCGATCAAACTTTGCAAAACAAATTGGGACGGAGGTAGTATAAGACACGATAATTCGTCATTCATCTCATTCAAATATAAATATTAATATATTATAAAACCGAAGAATATATTAATATGTATTTAGAAGTATATTTGTAGTATGATTTTAAAAAAATTATGTGTACTTGTATATTGAGCGGGGCGGGGCATGGCAGGGTAAGACAGGGCAGGGCAGCACAGGTCACCACTAATAACTAGACCCACCTCATTGTATGAGCGAGGCGGGGCAGACCCGCCCCATTTTCAAGATGGGATGGACAGGACCCGTCCGAAATGTCTCGAGCCAGGGTGGGTCAGATTTTTTTTTGACATGCCTAATGATCACTTGTTCTGGTCACTTCCTGATATGGTTTTGACGGTACATATAGCCTCTTGTTCGTCTGGTATAGTATTTCTAATATTTGGCCTTTTGTTTTAGGTATATTTTATGAATAAGAAATTTAAATACTACGTATTTAAAAAACTTTATAATTGATAAATTTGCGAAAAATTTAAAAATAATTATCTCAACTATTGCCGGTTCTCTGATCTATTAATAATCTCAATTATCGATTATTTCTGAATGGTCCCAACTATTGGGACAATATTCTAAAAATAGTCCATAACGTGCTACAACCTGGTATAGCAGGTCAAATTAAAATGTGAACTATGCGTAAACTATATATAATCCTAACTATAGTCGATCTTCTTATATTAATATCACGCCCCAGACCACATCTAAACGCATGTACAACCGTCGTGTGATTAAGTGACGTCACTCGCAAGTCAACCTCACATAATCACACAAGGTGTTCATTAACATCGTTCACACCATACTCACTAGTAAACATACATAGCAACATCACATCATAGATTGAATGAATAGCGGAAAATATTCAACGGTCAATCATAAGCCACATATGGCAAAACGTAGGCTCGCAGGCCAAAACAATGTAATATTACAAAAGCATCCATGAGCATAGTTTATGATTTGAAATAATAAAGGAAGCACGAACCACATCTTCCTCTAGATTCCTTCCACCCGTGCAAAGGTGTAGACAGTAGGCTCTAGCTCCAACCTGAAATGGTGGGGCCCCCCGAAGGGGTCAATACAAGTACCGAGCGAGTAGCAAGCTAAATGTAGAGTAACTAACGTTTCAAGTATAAGTCCCAAACATAGGGTGATACATATACTTATACTTCCTTACCCCAAGTTACAAAATACATATCAGTACTTATATACACTTGGAAATACCCGACCCGTAGGTCATTGTTTAATTGGGAAAAATAATAGTAGTCAATATCATTGACTTAAAACCCCAACCCACCCATAGACCTATGAGTGTATAGGACTCCTCCTGTCCAAATCAAATAAGCATAAGGACACCGCCCGGTCCTGAATTTCTAAATAGTAATCTATGTGTTTTGAGGATACACGTCCGATCCTTGGGTACTCCACCGCCCTATATAACCGAGTTTTGAGGATACCGCTCGATCCTTGGGTACTCCACCCTATATAACCGAGTTTTGAGGATACCGCCCGATCCTTGGGTACTCCACCCTATATAACCGAGTTTTGAGGATACCGCCCGATCCTTGGGTACTCCACCCTATATAACCGAGTTTTGAGGATACCGCCCGATCCTTGGGTACTCCACCCGACCTATGATCTACCACATATCATACTAGATATGGCCTATATCATAATTAATAAACAAGACTAGACCAAGTCTTAAGACCTAAACAAAATCATCCATGCAACTCATGCATTAAAATTAGCATATAGGTAAAGTAAGGCCAAACCGGCGCCAGTCAACTTTCGGTTGACCCGCCATTCCAAATCCATTGTGTGTCGAACTTAGTCACAATATGTACTAAGTTATAAATAACTATTTTATGCACATTTCATCTCTGCACATATCACACATGTTTTTATGAGCATTTTCACTTCACAAATCATGCATATTTCAATAGTTCACTTCATACATGCTTAATCACTTTAATTGGCTAATCACATGTTTAATTCATTTAAACATTTTTATGAACACACATAACATATACTTAGGTAATCTCATGCTTAACCCAAAAGTTACAAGACATTAAGCCATCCACTCACCTCAAATGAGCTTTAAGAAGATTCTACTCCCCTTAGTTGAACTCCGACGAAACTCCGGCGAACTCCGGCGAAACTCCGGAGAACTCTAGAAACACTTTAGTCAAGCCCCTAACATGGTTTTATCATCATAAAACCCATATCAACACAAATAACCTCCAAAAGGTTATTTTCCGGCGAATCGGTCATTTTAGCTTCTAAGTCCGTTCTTGGACTTAAAACTTCCTTCCAACCCCTCATTCCATATTTCTAAACATGTAGAACAAGCCTAGGGGTTCCTCATATGATTTATAATCCATATGGTAGGTAAGAGTAGAGGACAAGTTAATATAAGGTCATTACCTTAATCACCACGCTTTTTCCTCACTTTTTCTTCCTTAAGTCTTCCTCCTTGGACTTTGTCTTCTTGAGCTCACTTGGCTATGGAGGAATGGAGTTTTGCAGAGGTTTTTCTCTTCCTTTGAGAGTATTGGTCGAAAATGAGAGGGATAAGGGAGTATGAATGGTCCTTTTGTCTCATTGGACAACTGAGTGTGGATGGGAGGTCCACCTCATGTCGTGTAGATGTCATCCCCTTAACCTCACCCTCTCTCACCCCTCTTCCTCTCATTCCAGCCGGCCAACCATTGACTTTAGTGAACAAATAAACGTGGGTTGGCCCCCACACATGTGGGAGGTCAACCGATTAACTCCCGAGGTGTACAATCGGTCCCGAAAGTTGTATTTTTCGGACTATTTTAATTATATTTTATTTTAACGGGTCAAATAAAATATATTATGTGTTTCCCATCCTTATGGACTCTTAGAATGAATACACATTCCTCATCTTTAATTTAGAAGTCTCTGAAATCTGTTTTGGGCTGTTATCTGATAAATTGCCAATACCGGTAGTTGAGCTTCGTTTGGCCGACGGCTCAACCCTAAGCCCTTTATATGGCCCAACTAAAATATATAACATCATATAAATATTATCTAGACCAAGATGAATATAATATGTGATCCCGGAATTATCGGGTGGTCCTCGCTCCCGATGTGGGCCCCACGTGCGGTTCACTATTCACGCGAAAGAAATAACAAAAAAATTTACAACTACATAAATTCATAAATCAATATTCAGGATTTATTACATGATTTACTAAAGGTAAATATACTTGGGGACGGTGTTACAATTAATCCCAATTATCAACTCTCAATTTTAAAAAAATATAATTTTTTTTATGAATTATCAAATTTAATATTTTTAAACATGTAAAAATAATTCTAAAAATTCTACAAATGTACCGAAAGTTAAATAAAAATATTTTTAGTCATTTTTTATTTATTTTCACTAAAATTTCATTTTTTTCTTTCTTTTTTTCCAATTTGTTTTTCTAGTTGTGTTAACAAGTTACTCCGTATGATTTTGTATTATTTTACTTTATTCAATTTTTAATTTTGTGTTTAATTTTCAAAAAGTATATTGGGATTAAGAAATTTTACGATTTAAATCTTTATTCTAGATTTTTTCATGAAAATCTATTTTATTAAATTTTTATGCTATCTTAATTGTAAAAATCAAAATTCTTTTTTTTTTCAATTTTAGTATTTTTTAATTTCTTTCTATTTTCTTTATTTTATTTTATTTTATTATGTTCTATAAATTATATGATATAGTTTATCATTGAATTCTAGTGATTTAGGACATAGGATTTGAAGGTTTTGGCTAGGTTAATCAAAATATATTAATAGTTTAATTTTAAGTGATACATTTGTTCTACATATTTTACAAGTTCCATTATATTATTAAAAATTACGTAGTATAATATTAATACATTTTCATTAAAAGTAGCCAAAATCTCCAAAACCTGTGCCCAAATTACTAAAATTGAATGATGAACTATATCTTATAATTTATAGAATATAATAATATAAAATAAAGAAAATAGAAATAAATTACAAGTACTAAAATGGATAAAATAGAGAATTTAGACTTTTAGAATTAACATAGAATAAAAATTAAATTAAACATATTTTCATGGAAAAAAACTAGATTAAAGATTTCAATCATAAAAAATTTAGTCACACTTTACTTTTTGAATACATAAAATGTAAAATTGAATAAAGAAAACAATATGAAATCATAACATGTTAACCCAACTGGGAATAGTAAATTGGGAAAAAATAAAAATAAATAATTTTAGTAAAAATAAATAAAAAATAACTAAAACTATTTTATTTAATTCAGTACATTTGTAGAATTTTCATAATCATTTTTACATGTTTAAAAATATTTAATTTGAAAATTTATAATTTTTTTTATATTTTTCTAAAATTGAGAGTTGATAATTGGGATTAATAAAAGAAGATCAACTATACTTGGGATTATTTATAGCTTATGGATAGTTCGCATTCAAATTTGACATGTTATACCTTGTTGTAGCAGGTTAGGGACTATTTTTGAAAAATGGTCCCTATAATTGGAACCACCAAATAATAATCGATAATTGAAATTATTAATAGCAAACGGACAATAGTTTAATTATTATTTTTAATTTTTCCTAAATTTGGTGTTACTAGTTGTTAGATAAAACATTTATGATGGGAATTGAAAGGATTGAAAGGACACCAGTGGACATCATAGGAGTCGTCGCCACGAGAGGCCACCGGCCAAGTTTGCTCATTGAAAGGGAATTAATAATTAGCTGAAAGATTTAATGACTCCAGACTCATATCCATATCAAGTAAAATCGAAATTCCTACAAGTTTGTAAAGGGATCTTATGATGTTATCCCATAATTTGATATAAAGCTCATTTTAATTTCTATTTTGATATTAGCAGCAGTTAACCTTTTAACAATCACATGACTTTGGCTCATGTTTTTTTTTTCTCTTCTCTCTCTAGGGTAAAATTCGGGTAACGCCTAGTCATTGTCCGCCGCCAGCTGCCCAGGAGATCTCGGCCGTTGTCGGTGGCTGTGTTGGAGTGCGGGTTTTCTATCGAGCTCTTCGAGGCTTCGCTTTGGTTGGAGTTTTGTTTCAGTCGAGGAGATCAGCGGTGGAAGGAGGGGAGCTTCGTTTGTTGCCGGTGTTTTGTATACAAATACAAAAACATGGCGATTGGGACGGAGGAAGAAGATATGGATTTCAATATGAAAGACGTTCCGGTAGAGAAAAGCAATCCAGTGTTTCAGGTGGTAGGAGTGCTACTGACTTTTGAGGCAGATGAGCGGTGAGTGCGTCCCCCTCCCGAGCTGCTGCCATGGAGTGCAAGGAGGCAACAAGTTCGGATGCTCGTGCGATTTGGCAAGCTCGGACAGAGGGTTTATTTAATATGTTTGTTTTTTTGTTCTAGCGAATCTTTTTTCCGTTGTGCATTTTGTTTCGTTGTTGTTTTTCCTGTTTGTAAAACGTTGGGTTTGGATGTGGGTGATGAGAGGATTGCGGTAACCGTCTTTGGCTCTTTTGTGCCCATTTATGGATTAGCGAATTATATTGCTTTTTTGGATCGGAGGTGATTCATTCTGTGTCTGGTTCGCGAGACGGCGGTTATCATGATTCTTTTTGTCGGATTACTCATACTCTGAATTATTTGTTATCAATGTAAGCCGATTTCTTCCAAAAAAACAATCACATGACTTTGATTTCATTCACGAAACTGTACTATATTCAAAATATGTAAAATTATTTTTTCCCAACAAAATTTATTGTAAATGCCATTTAGTCTTTTTATATAAAATATTTTCTTTATTTTAATAGTAATACTCTCTATGTTCTTTATTAACTATCTCGTATTCCTTTTCGGGGCGTTTTTAATTATTTGTTCCTTTTTTGGTAAGTTTTTTAATCAAAATACTTTTTTACCTCCACTTTTATTACTCTTACCTTTTTCTCTTTCATACTTTATCATCTAAATACAAACCACTACACCTTTTACATTACTCCTATTAAAACCCGTGCCAAATCCTAAGGTGACACTTAAAAAAGGTGAATGAATGTGAACCACATATTTTTTCTAAAAGTGGAAGTTGGAAATATTAATTGGGACGGCCCAAAAAGGAAAATTGGAAGAAATGACCAGGACGGAGGGAGTATATTATAGGAAAAACAAAAAAGTGTATAAGTATGAAAAAATATTACAAAAAGTGTATAATTATTAAAAAAAATTGAAGAGAAAATAACAAATTTGTTGTTGTAATTTCAGTTGAAGAAAAAATGAAATATAAGTGTATGAATAAGGATCAAGATAGAAAGATAAAGTAATTAATATGTTTTGAAAGGATATGAAATTTAATAACAAAATTGAAATATGAAGTACATAATCGTCCGGTGTTCCCTAATTTAAAAAAATCATTTTGAAATACGAGTCTTTTTTTGACAAATCAAATGATGGAGTATATGGCTCAGGGACCTCCGACCCACATACTTCCACTAATGCGATCAGACTCAACAGGTCCAAATGGGCCAAGCCCAACAAACAAGACTCCAGACAGCCCACAATACACAAGGGGGAGCCTTCGGCCCCATGCCCGAAGGCTTAACATTCATGAAATCAAGTCCAGAAACATCGCAGGAGAACAAGACTCAAAATACAGGCCTTCGGCACATAGAACCTTCGGCCACATGGAGGCCCCGACACATAGACCCTTCGGCCACATGGAGGCCCCCGACACATGGAGCCTTCGGCCACATGGAGACCCCTGACACAAAGAGCCTTCAGCCACATGGAGCCCCCCGCACATAGAGCCTTCGACACATGGAGGCCCCGACACATAGAGCCTTCGACCACATTGAGGCACCGACACATGGAGCCTTCGGCCACATGGAGGCCCCCGACACATGGAGCCTTCAGCCACATGGAGGCCCCCGCACATGGAGCCTTCGGCCGGAAGGGACAGCCGACGGCATCCTCCTCGACACAATCTCCTCTCCACATGCGCTGAATCGCCGTACCAAGTACAAACGTCATATCCAACCACCGCATTTAATGCGGCCACATGCGAATGCCGGTGCCACCCCGATTGAGGTGACCCTCAGCCGTCAGATGTTCAACACGTGTCCCTGTCTAGCATTTATTACTACTATAAACAGCAGCCTATTTTTCCATTGTAACACACAACAATTCATATATTGAATACTTACTCCCTCTCTTAAGCTTACTTATTGCTCTGACTTCTCTATAGTTATTCCCCAAAATAACCCCTCGAATAAGTTACCCCCGGGTACACAATCCATCATCAAATATGATAGTTTTGATAATGAAAAACTAAAAGTAAAAGTAAAAAACAAAAACAATAAACAAAAAAGGAAAAAAAAGTAAAAAACGAAAAAGTAAAAACGAAAGAGGGTGGGGGAGTGCACTGGAGAAATAGAGAGAGCTAAGAAGTAAAAAACGTAAAAGAATAAAAGTAACGAGAGTGGGGGAAGACGATGAGTGGAGGGTGCGTGACTTTCTTTTATTTCAAAACGGTGCCGTATGTGGGAAAGGTATACCATGTGCATGGTATACCGATCCCATGGTATAATTTGACGTTGGTACAAATATCTTTTTTTCATAGAAATTCTATGGTACTTTCAAGGTATCATGTCTTGTCCACATTGATCAATTAAAATATTACAATTGAACAATTTAAGTCATAAATAGATAATAAAATAGTGTCTTGGAATAATCAAATGCATGACTGGTATGTCATCCACATTTTTTAAACGGTACCATAGCACTTACTTGATTTATAGTCAAAAGGGGCGAAATTTTTTCCGTTAGTGTAGGGTGTGAAATTTTTTTCACTAGTGTAGCGAGACATTTTTTTGCTAATGTAGGACTCTGCTGCTATTTTTATAAAAAAAAAGTTCATTAATACATACACGATGACATTAGAGTTCATTTGGTTGTCTTTGTTTATCGTCTTATCAAGCTTATCAGTCAACTTTTTCACCGAACACGTAACTTTTGAATTACGTAATAATAAGAAAAAAGTAAGGTTGAAGTTACTTTTTTGGGCTGTATTGATTGAAGTTACAATAGAGGATCACTTTAGTTGTTTTTTCATATAATTTTTTCTTTATTTATTAGTAAAATATTTTTTTAATATATGTTTCATAAATTAGTAGAATCAGCGAATCCGGCCACTTCATCCAGAATTTTTAAATTTCACTAGAATCAACTAATACAGGTAATTTTGAGTATTACCAAACAAACTCTTAAATCTATTTCATTCTAAATTTAGACAATGAAAAAATAACTTTTGATACATTAAAGCATAAAAAAATGACGAATCAAAGGAAAATTTTCGGAAAGTAAAAAAGATATATACCTTTAAATGAATTCAATATTGAATGATTGAGTAAAATGAACACGAGAAACTAATAAGTGATGTTCTAAGTAATTCTCACAAAGCTATAAAGAGTTGTAGTTTTAAGAGTTACAATATAAAAAATACTTATTTATTATTGTTTTTATGCATTATTGTATTTATAATATTACTTTAATTTCTGACACCACTGATATTACAGTCTTGCTCTGTTCCTGCGCCAGGTTAAGATTATCTGATCTCATTTCTACTTTTGGTTCGCCTCTCTAAGATTATCTTATATAAAATCTAATTTGGTAAATTTTGTTTAGTTCAATTCAAAATCCTTCTTACTTTATTTTATCTTTGTGAATTTATTATAAAAAGCATAAACTCATTGTTGGGTTAATGGCCCAATGGGGGTTGACCCATAAACCCTAATCCTACGAACGTCCGGAGAAGGCCCAAGACAACGGGTTAGCCCCCTGTTATCACCGGTGAGGTTCATCCCCAACAGGGCCAAGCCCAGGGGACGTACGTATCCTAGCGTAGGCAGGTACCTAGGCCCAGGAGCAGCACGAGACGCACGTCTCGAAGGACTTTTAGATCCTTATTATAGGGACCTCAGCACCTCTCCCTCCCCGGAGTTCTACGCTCACCCTAGGGGTCACATGGCTTCCCCTCCTTGAAGCCCCTTCCAAAGCACGCCTTTCCCGGCACCTTTGGCGATCTTGGTGGTATTGCCGGAGAATTTCTTCAATCCGTTTGAGAGCTTCATTATCATCGCTCTCGTCACCAGCATCGTCGTACTCCCCATCATATGGGGTCTCAACCGGCTCGGTTCCCGATTGGTAAGTTGAATCCTCCTCGGACTCATAGTGCTCGTCTATTGTTTCCACATGACCGTCACTCACGGTCAGCGAGTGGCCTGCACGACCTTGTCTCCTAGACACCCTCGATCCTCCCCGACTGTCACGTTGGGATCCTCCCGGTGCTTGGCCAGCCGGGTTCCGTCGAGTAACTTTCCCGGTACGTTCCATTTCTAAAAGAAATTTAGAATGAGTCATTAGACTCGTATCAAATGTCAATTGACGGATAGGCACTTAAAGACATCTTTTGGCTCAAATCACCACCATACCAATTGTTAAGGGTACCATCTTAACAATTAGAGACATTGCAACTCAAGTACCAAAAGTTCTATAAGTACAAAACTTCTTATGCTCATGGTTTTCAATTTCATTTTCAAAAAGAATTTTGAAGCTTCATTATGATGTTTACAGACTAAGTTTCTGATACCAATTAAATTGTCACGCCCCGGACCTACCCGGACACGTCAACAACCCGCCGTACAGTACGAATAGTCAACCGCAGTCCAACTCATCCATACTATACAAGGCGTATTGAATACCATTCACACATAGTACATCCATAAACAAACATAAGGTAAAACATTCATTTAAAACAGCGGAAGCATTTAATAAAAGTGTCTTAGCCACACTTTGGCAAACATGGGCATACAAGCCCCCAAATAATTATTCAAAAATAATATCCATGAGCGTTTATATAATTGTTTTCAAACAAAAACGGAGGAAGCACGAACCACGTCTTCTCCCCTGAATATCCCCGAAGCGACGGGCGCCGGTAGCAACCTTCAAGTTCTACCTGAAACTGTGAGGTGGCCTCCCTCGTGAAGGGGAGGTCAGTACTTGGAAGCATTTGACAAGTAGAATGACAACTATACTAAGTATAATCAACATTTTTATTTCCAAGACCCTCAAAATAGGGTGATATCATAATGTAAATAATAATTTATATTTCCCACTTATTATCTTATTATAAGTAAATTCATTTATTTGTCGGCACACAACCCTTCTTATATATTTCTTTTCATTTATCATTTGCACAACCCAACTCTTAGGTCTTATTATTTCTACGGGACTTGCTACCGCTGTCCGAGACCTCATGAGGCTCTCGGTTCGGACTTCAACATCCCGCCCCTGGACTCATACTCATCATCCCGTAGGAAGGTAATGCCCTTCGGGGTCCTATCTTATGTGTTACCGCTACCGGAGCTTAGTTAGGTCTCCGATTCGGATTCCACCCTAACCCGTGATCACGATGCAAGTCCATGCTATCCAACACCGCTCTCTAGAGTCGGGAAGGGCCATGATCCTTACTTATTTTCATAATTCAACCGGTTATCCTCAAGG